CTCTCTAATTCACAAAGAATCCTGCCCCTCTGCCACATACTGAGCTCTGGGTTAGAATCTTATCGTTACCGTACCGTTATCTTGGCGGAAAATCCGCGCCTGGCGCTCAATTTCGCTTTCCTTTGGGGAGCTCCGTAAGATACTGTACATTACCGTATTTTTAAGATACCGCTTTTAGAATTTTTAAGTAATTATCGTACCGGCCAAAGCTTGTACGCTACCTCCTCGGGATCGGCGTTCTCGAGGTGGGCAACGGCGTCGCAATTGTAAGGCATAGCCTGCCCTAACTTATCGACGCCATTACGGCGCCAACACTCTCGTGAACATATCGCGCTTGCGCGCGCATACCCTATCTGCGTATGCAGTGTGCCTGGCCTGTCGCCGATTGGCTGCGCCATAGGCGAAAGCTCAGGATTGGTCGACCTTTTGTTTTTGACCGGCAGGCGGAAGAGGGGCAGTGTGTGTGCAACGAGCTTAAGAGTAATTGTAATTACTGTCGAGTGTGCAATTTCTTCAAAAATATACAGAACATTACATTCTTTCTTGTTTAATTAATTCGAGACAATCGAACACCTCAACCAGACTCCCAGCTAGCCTTCGGCAAATCCTCTACAGCCTCAGAAGTGGGATCTTCCAAGGTGTCTTTCTCGAGCTTGTCTGGCTTAGTTCGCTGCAAATTTTTTCACATTGTTTTTCCCTGCGGGATTAGTGTGTTTTGCGCGAATAATCACGCCCATCATTGTTTGTCAGTAGTGTGCTAAAATTTAGTGGCAGCAATCTAAAGCTACCTCGGTATTTACATCGGTGTTACATCAGCGATCCGCCATTTTGATCACGTGAAGAACGCGCTATTATTTCTCGGCGTGCGTGATACGCGAGGAAAGGAAAGAAGAAGAGATGTTTTTCGGTTTTCAACAGTGACTGGTGCCGTCTTGATTGGTCTATTCTACAGACTCGTAGCAAGTAGCCGATAATATAGCCCTACATAACTTGAAAAGCCACCGGAAATTCATCTTGAAGATGCTATCCCGTATTTACATTTGGAAAAATTCACGTTAGTTAAGCTGCAAGAAGAACTCTTACATTTAGGGATTACTATTGCCCCTAAGGATCGGGAGAAGTGCATTGACATGATTTTAGATCTCTTCGAGAGAGACAAGATGCGTGCCGCTTCATCAAAACAGCACAACAGAACAGATGCACGAAGCAGGCGGAGCTGCAATTCCCCTATGTTCTTCTGTTGCTCATTCATCACCGGAGATTAGTGACATATTAATAGATCAGTCACCTCTTCAAACTTGCCAGAAATCAGCGTTGGACAATACATTAGCGCACATGTACCTTATTGGCTATACATATTCAACACCAAAATCAGCAGGCTCTTCAGCAACAGGTAATGATGAAACAGATATTATCAGATTTATCCATTAACACCGCTGCAACTCATATACAAAACGAAGTACATCCTATTGCAACGCAAGAACAGAATCTCAACACAACAAGTCACACGCAAGTATCGGAAAGCTTTTCTTCTTTTTCGAATAATGCGTCTAAGTTCCTCAGTTCCTAGATTCCACAGTTTGGTGGTACAGAAGAAGAGAACGTAGAAATATGGATAGAGAAGATAAAGAGCGTAACAGGAATTCATGGCTTTCCCCAAGGAGTAATGCTATCAGCAGCCTTTTCAAGACTAACAAAATCTGCTCGACGGTGATTTGATTACAGCACAGGATCCATAAACAGTTCTTGGACGGTGTTTAAAACCGCAATTATTAGCCGTTTTAAGAGAAAAATTTTTTATGGCGCTACGTTACAAAAGGTAGAAGCTCGAAAATAGTTATTTTATAAAGAATCATTTACAGATTACGCTTTGGATAAAATAACTCTGCTCCAACCCTTGAAATTATCGGATGTGATGCATACCTTTAATAATGGAATTACCTCTTGCAATCAGAAATCGCCTCTTCACTTAAGGTTGAATCCTTACATGTAGAGCGCACATGTACCTTATGGCTATAATATTCAACACCAAAATCAGCAGGCTTCGCAGCAACAGTAATGATGAAACAGATATTATCAGATTTATCCATTAACACCGCTGCAACTCATATACAAAACGAAGTACATCCTATTGCAACGCAAGAACAGAATCTCAACACAACAAGTCACACGCAAGTATCGGAAAGCTTTTCTTCTTTTTCGAATAATGCGTCTAAGTTCCTCAGTTCCTAGATTCCACAGTTTGGTGGTACAGAAGAAGAGAACGTAGAAATATGGATAGAGAAGATAAAGAGCGTAACAGGAATTCATGGCTTTCCCCAAGGAGTAATGCTATCAGCAGCCTTTTCAAGACTAACAAAATCTGCTCGACGGTGATTTGATTACAGCACAGGATCCATAAACAGTTCTTGGACGGTGTTTAAAACCGCAATTATTAGCCGTTTTAAGAGAAAAATTTTTTATGGCGCTACGTTACAAAAGGTAGAAGCTCGAAAATAGTTATTTTATAAAGAATCATTTACAGATTACGCTTTGGATAAAATAACTCTGCTCCAACCCTTGAAATTATCGGATGCTGATGCCATACACTTTTTAATTAATGGAATTACCTCCTTGGCAATCAGAGGAATCGCCTCTTCACTTAAGGTTGAATCTCTTGACGAATTTGTGAGAGAAATAGAGGAAATTGCTACTTCGTGCAAAAACCATTCTAAAAGGCCTATGCTATCCAGAAAGGATAAAGTAACGGATCCCAAAACTTCATCCGAAGATTACGATTCACAGAAGAAGAAAGACTTATTTTGTGTTTACTGCCGTGGAAAGAATCACATTAAGGAGAACTGCTTTAAACTCAAGAAAAAACGCAACCCTGACTCTTCGCAGCCTATCAGATAGCCAACGGCGATGACGGTAGCAACTGTTGAGAACACGAAGCACAACGTTTCGAACACAATTGCGTATGTCAAAAACCCTCTAACGATAAAAAATTTGTTATAAATAGCTCTAGTTTAGAAATTACGCGTATTAATAATATTAAGCAATGCATTAGCTTTATTAGACACAGGAAGTCCTGTCTCTCTTATGTCTTTCAAAACTTTTTCTCAATTTTTTGGATCTGTCAGCCTGGTTAAAAATAATAACTTGTCTTATAGTGCAGTTAATGGCACTTCAATTAGCATCATTGGTACAGTTACTATTCCGATAGAATTAAAAGTATTACCAAATTCCTCATTAAATGTCACCTTTTTGGTTACAGAAACCGATTTCCTTTCCTTCGCGATTAATTCTTGGATGTGATTTCCTTAACTTACATAAAATCTTAGTTATTATTGATGTTACTAATAAAAATTTATCTAACAGGGTCCAACTATTTTCTGAAATAGCGTCTACAGAGATCATTGATTGTGCACCCCATGGACGAACTACTATCAAATATTGATATAGATTTTGACTTTTTAATCAAACAACAGCTGACATCCACAATTAAAGAAGTTCATGATGCAAATATTCCATTAATAGAGGATAATTATACAGTTAAAATCAATTTGAAAGACGAATCCGTCTTTGCATATTCGCCTAAACGCTTCGCACATATGGAAAAACTCCAAATAAGAGAGATAGTAAACAACCTGTTAGCCAGAAACATAATTAAAGAAAATAACTCTCAATATTGCTCGCGAATAGTTCCTGTAAGGAAAAAGAATAGATCTATGAGACTTTGTAGATCTCCGTCCTCAATTCTAGAACGATTAAAGCAGAAATACCCGTTTCCAATCATTGAAGACTGACTAGATTAAGTCACAAAACTGTTTTTACATTACTTGATCTCAAAAATGGATTCCATCAAATTAAAATTCATCCCGACTACACAAAATACTTTGTTTTTGCGACCCCGGATGGTCAATACGAATACCTTTGTTTACCTTTTGGCTTCTGCGAAGCACCAGCAGAGTTCCAAAGGCGCTTGGTTATGATTTTACAACCTTTAATCAGAAAGGAAAAAATAATCGTTTATATTGATGATATATTAATACCATCATTAATACCATTCTCTGTTGAAGACAATATTGACACTTTGAGACAAGTATTAATTGAACTCAAACGTTATAATTTCCAGTTGAATTAAAAAAAAATGCCTTTTCTTAAAAACCACCATTGAATATCTCGGATTTCCCCTTCAGGGATTACGCTTAGTCTACGGCACACAGAGGCCGTAGTGAATTTTCCTCATCTACAAAGGTCCTTGAATTGCAAAGGTTCCTAGGTTTCACAAATTATTTCAGAAAGTTTGTCAAAGACTATGCTACAATCGTCAAGCCTCTTAACATGTTGTTAAGAAAATCGGTTAAATTCAAATTCTCGAATGAATGTGTTCAAGCATTTATCACGCTTAAAACTCGACTGTCATCTCCCCCGTTTTTAAAGATTTACAATCCACATCTTGAAACCGAGCTACACACAGACGCAAGTGCAATTGCCGGAATTCTTTTACAAAAACAAAGCCAAGGGACCCAATTTCGTTTTACAGTCAGAGCACCAATAAGGCGGATCATAGCTTAGAGTTAGAAATGCTCGCCGTGAAATCCATGGAAAGATGCCATATCTACCTTTACGGCATGGACTTTACAATAGTCACAGACTGCCATGCTCTTGTTTTTGCGGTTAACAAAGCTAACATAAATCCTCGCATAGCCCGGTGGATTCTCAAGCTACAAAATTATCGCTTCAAAATTTCTTATCGCGATGGTCGACGAATGATGCATGTGGACACTCTCTCTCGCGTTATTAACTATATTGAGGCGTACCTTTAGAAACAGAACTGCAGTTTAGGCAGTTACAAGATCCCAAGTTAAAAAGTTTGTCAGAAAAACTCGAACAAAACGAAGATGACAAATTTGAATTATTGGATGGATTTAGTTTTTAAGAAAAACGCTGACAAGCCTCGTTTTATGATACCTGAGGTTATGATTAATAACATTATAAGATATCACCACGACAATATGGCGCATTGTGGAGTGGAGAAGACAATACAGGGAATCAAGGTTAACTACTGGTTTCTCTCTCTTAGAAAAAGAGTTCAGAGCTATTTAGACAACTGCGTAATCTGCTTGTTAGCCAATACTTCAGCCCATTTACGCGAATGTGAGTTACAAATTACGGAATCACTGTCGCAACCATTTCTGATCTTTCACGTAGATCATTTTGGCCCTATTACGGAATCCTACAAAGGACATAAACACATCTTACTAATGATAGATGCTTTCTCGCGATTTACGTGGTTATTCCCGACAAAATCGACTAGTTCTCGTAAAGTAATCAAAAATTTAACCTATCTTTTTCAAAATTTTGCAAATCCGGTATTTCTAGTCTCCGATAGAGGAACAGCTTTTACATTTCAGGAATTCGCGAACTTTCTAAAACATTATAATGTTACCCATCGACAGGTAGCCGTGGCTGCTCCTTGGGCTAACGGATTAGTAGAAAGGGTAAACAGATTTCTTAAATCTTCTCAAAAAAATCCGGGAAGACGATCAAGCATGGGATACCCATCTGGATACTGTACAATACGTAATGAATAATACATATCATTCCTCCGTCAAAGCCACCCCGGCTAAATTACTATTCGGTGTTGATATGCGCGACCATCCGGATGCGGAGCTGGTACGATTCCTTAATGATTTCGCCAAAATAGAATTCGATGTTCAAAACAATCGAGACGCGACTCGGAAACTAGCTATTGAATCCACTAATAAAATCAAAGAATATAACAAGTCATATTATGATGAGAGGCACACGAAGCCCTCCTTATACAAATCTCGTGATTATGTCCTCATCAGGGACACCACTACTAAACCCGGCGAGGATAAAGAATTAAAGCCAAGTTGTAAAGGCCCATATTTGGTTGCCAAAGTTCTCAACAACAATAGATATGTTGTTCGGGATATACCTGGGTTTAATCACTCATCAAGACTCCCCGTAAACGCAATATTATCTTCAGATCGCATGAAACCATGGGTTAAACCAGTAGTCAGCCCTACGTGACGTATTTACTATATATTTCAAAATATTAAGTTTAGTTTATAATAAACACCTTAGATATTCTCAGCGAACTATTTCTTTTAAGCTAGTCCCTAGACAGATTTCATATCAAGCTTTACTTTGTAAGCTAATCTTTCGAATTATAAATTCTTATATCTAATCAAACCTCAACTCATGCGCAATAATATAAGTTAGATTTTATTTATTTCTAGTTCTGCGTTATAATCGTATATTTATATATCTCGTTTTATTTTAAAGTATTATAACGTTCGGTTACCAATGATATTTTGTTTTTACATATAAACAGTATTATTTATAATCATTCCTAATCGTCAAGATTATACCAAAGATTGTATACGTTAAGATTATATGTGATACCGAGCGTACCTAATCGTCAACTGTATATAATTCCGAGTACTATGTAATTAGCCATTCGAGACGAATATTAAAGTCAGATATGGCCGAGCTGTAAGACATAGCCTGCCCTAACTTACCGACGCCATTATGGTGCCGGCACTCTCGTGAACATATCGTCCTTAGGCGCGCATACCCTATCTGCGTGCGCAGTCCTGGCCTGTCGCCGATTGGCTGCGCCATAAGCGGGAACTCAGGATTGGTCAAGCGACCTTTTGTTTTTGACCGGCAGGTGGAAGAGGGGCAGTGTGTGTGCAGCGAGCTTAAGAGTAGTTGTAATTACCGTCGAGTGTGCAATTTCTTCAAAAATATTAGAACATTACATTCTCTCTTGCATAATTAATTCGAGCCAATCAAGCACTTCACGAACAGCTCAACCAGACTCCCAGCTAGCTTTCGGCAAATCCTCTACAATATATATATATATATATATATATATATATATATATATATATATATATATGTTAGGGTGGAGCGTATTTATAAGAAAAAAAAATTTTTTTCAAATTTTACAACGCCCGTAGGTGAAAAAGGTGCGAATATGTTTAAAAATAATATTTGAAAAAGTTGGACTCGATTGGAGCTCATTTTCTGCCTCCAACTTTTGTTTGAAAATTTGATTAGAAGCAAAATCATAAAAATTATAAACAAGATGCAATCCAAAATTTCTTGAAATTTATAATTCCATTTTTATCAATAATTTAAATTATTATAACATTTTAACCTATTAAACTAATTAAAACATATAAGAGCAAATCATTTTGTACATATATGTGTACAATGCGCGTGAGTTCTTCGACATTAGCGAGACAAGGCCGTAACAAACAGGCGACGGAAATCTGCGATTTTTTTTTAGTAATATTCGTTTGTTTTCTGGACACTCGGTCACGGCTACGAATCAAAGCTGCCAAATCTCCACCGCAAGCAACATGCAACACATCGTGAAAGGGGTAACGAGGATGTGAGCGTAAGCGACGGCCGACGCGTGTTCGTTGCCAGCTCGGAAGAAGACAGAGGACTGTATTCTGTCCTCTTCTACTATCCGAAGGTAGCCAAAGCGTCGAGTCTACACGTACGCTTACGTTCACCTCCTCGTTACCCTCTCCACGACGTGTTGCATGTTGCTTGCGGCGGAAATCTGGCAGCTTTACTACAAATCACGCGCCTGGAAACAAGTCAGTCGATCGACAGCGAATTTGAGCAAATATATACGTTTTATCCTACTCATATTCCAGATTCTTTCATTTTTCATTGCATACTTATGTTATTTTTTTATTATAAATTTGCTTCGAAAAATGCCAAATACCCGTAATATTTTGAAGTGTCCTATTTTTGGACAGTCATCAGATTTCATTAAAAATCAACTACCAACTTATGTTGATGTGGCAAAATGCTACGAATTTATTCGGGAAAGTTCCAAAATTTCAGCAAAGGAACCAACTTTTCAATCTATTTCCAAAATATTAGCAAATAAAATTAGGGTTATTGTGGAACAAGCATCTTTACTAATTATAACTTTTCAAAGAACTCTTGCAAAAATCAAGAAATTCCATTATCAAATGCAAAAACTAAAGAAATTCTCAGCAAAGCCAAATTTATATATTTCGAAAATTGTAGCTTTTAAAAAGGAATATGAAAACAAACTTTTTGATATATGCTGCTGTAAATGCATTAATTTTTCTAAGTGTAATTGCGTAAATAAAGTCCCAATATTAGAAAGATCTTTCTTACTAGACCAAAGAGGTCCCCGAAAAATGGTAATTGGAACAATTGATAAAGCCACTACAAAAAAATTACAAAAGACTCACAAAAGAAAAATTGCTGAGCAGGAACGGATTTCTAGAGCTCGAACTGCATCTGAATCGAATACAGTTGATATCGACTTTACAGAATCAGAATCAAATTCTGTAAATGATGACGAATCCAATACAGTATCATCTTCTTTTACGCTGAATAACAATCAAAGATCAAAGGCATCTTCAAACAAAATAGAATTGCTTTTCCTAATGTAGCAAGAGCTTGTGACAGAATGGGAATTTCTGATCGAGCAGCAGCAATAATTGTAAGTTCCACTTTACAAGATTTAGAAATTGTATCTCCGAACCATTCTTCGTTGGTGGTCGATCGAAGCAAAATTCGTAGAGCTCGTCAAGTTATTCGAACTGAAATTCAAATTTCACAATCATCTCAACATCTTGAATTGCTTGGAATTTATTTTGATGGTCGAAAAGATCAAACTATTTCTCAAGTAAAAATTGGAGAAAAGCTTGCAAGAAAAACTGTATTGGAAGAACATATTGTGCTTCTTTCGGAACCAGGTTCAAAATACATGGGTCACTTTACAGCAACATCAAGCACAGCCCTTGCAATTAAAACTGATTTATTTGAATTTCTTGTAAAAAAATAATTTGATATCAGAAACCTAAATGTTATCGGCTGTGATGGAACTGTTGTGAATACAGGCCCCAATGACGGAGTTATACGATTACTAGAATTGGAACTGAAAAGACCTTTACAATGGTTTATATGCATGTTACACTGTAATGAGTTACCATTACGCCATTTATTTTTAAAACTAGATGGGAGAACAATTGGCCCAAAGGCATTTTCAGGACCAATAGGAAGACAGCTTCAAATTTGTGAAACGCTTCCGCTGGTTTCATTTGAACCAATTTTATCAGAATTACCGTCTATGGACTTCGCTGATTTGAGCACAGACCAAAAATATTTATATCAAATTGTTACCGCGATTTCCAATAATAATTTATCTGCTGACCTAGCAAATAGAAATCCGGGAAAACTTAATCATTCCAGATGGTTAACACTAGTTAATCGAATTCTACGATTATATGTCTCAAGTGTGAATCCTAATAAAAATCTACGAACTTTGGCACAGTTTGTTGTTAAAGTGTACGCTCCAGTTTGGTTCGAGATTAAAAACAAACCAACTTGTAGACATGGTACTTTGCATTTGTGGAATATGATTTATAAGTCAAGAATCTTCGATTAAAACAATTAAAAACATAATTGATCCTGTTATCCAGAGAAATGGCTACTTTGCACACCCAGAAAATATATTGCTTGCAATGATTGCAGATGAGAGGCAACATATAAGAGAACTTGCTATGAAACGAGTGCTGAAATTTAAAGTTAATTCATCCTCTGCTCTTAACAAAATTCGTATATTTAAAATACCAACAGTAAATTTTGACGCTAAAGACTACACTGAATTGATTGACTGGCAACTTCCAAACTTAACTGCCCCTCTGCTTTTAAAAAATCTTTCTCGCGAAAATTTGAAAAATATGATTGGAAATGTTCCAGAGATAATCAATATATTGAATTTTCCCTGCCACTCACAAGCAGTTGAACGGTGAGTTAAACTTGTTACCGAAGCTGCGTCTTCTGTATGTGGAAACAATGCTAGAGATGGTTTTATACGAACTAGGATTACTACTAGAGCTACTCTTCCAAAATTTGATACAAAGTCAGATTTTCAACGCAGTTTGAATTAAAAATTTAAAGAAGTACAAAAATATATTTGGTTAAAAATAAAAAGTTTGTTTAAATGTTTAAAAAGTTTGTTTGTTAATTTTTTAATGATAAATACGGAAAAAGATATTAAATGATATATCATTTAAATATATTTAAATATATTTAAAAGAATATAAAATAAGAAAAATAAAAAAAATTTTAAATAAAACAAAAATAAAAAACTTGAAGAAATAAAAAAAATAAAAAACTTAAAAAATTTTAAAAATTAAAAAAAAGGAAATGGACTTCCTCTCTTACAGCTACCTCCTCGTGGTGAAGTCTGGGTAATCACAAAAATTTTGTTTAGCTAAAAGCTGTAAAAAATATAAATGCCACATGCAGTTTCGCAAATGGATATTTTTCTTTTAAGATCTAACAAAAGTTGGAGGCAGAAGATAAACTCCGATCAAGATGAAACTTTCCAAATATTATTTTTACAACAAATCGCATCTTTTTCACCCCCGAGCATATAAGAATTCAAAAATTTTTTTGATCGCTCCACCCTAATATATATATATATATATATATATATATATATATATATATGTAAAGATCAAAGAAATTAAGATGTTCTTCAATAAGTTACGTCATATACACATATATATTGTGACGTGACGCTTGACGGTCCGCCACAAGGTTCGCGAGATCTGATCGAGATTTTGGGCCCTCGTTCTCTCCTGATTTAGGGAGAGAGAGCGGATGTTGGAGGCGGTGGTAGACTCGCCTCCCTTAGAGATTTATTTATTTGCGATAATAAGATTAGGATTAAGCGCGAACGAGATGGAGGACGCTAGCGTGATCTCCGATGACTCGTCCCGGGTGAGATCCCGCAGAAGACCAAGCCCAAAAGGATACGGGACGAGCGGACCGACTAAAAGGAGAATGCCGAGCTAAGTAGCAGAGCCCCCTCTCTGCTTTTATAAATTGTAACATCAATTTAAGATTAACAAATTAGATACAATAGCAATACGAGTCAAGCATCGATGTTATGACACATTTATTTATTTATTATACAATAAAAAGCATGGAACAAATAAAATAAAAATAAAAAGAAG